TCAAGATAACAATGTGTCAAATCGTTTTTAGACTTGAAGATCCACATACAGTACATATTTGCCTGTTTGTTATGCTTAACATCATCAAAGCTATTATGTGTAATGATTTTATTGATTTCAATGGTATGGCAATATTGCTTTATTTTTCGGGTATCTCTAATTGCTCTGTTGCACCACAAAGTGAGACACAAATCAATTTATTAATTTTTTAATTTATCATTTATTAATTTGTCCTATGAAGATTTGCAGCTAATTTTGAATTCAGACCATCCACTTGCATACTACTATTGTTGTATGGTATTAATTCAGTAGAATTATCAGAAAAAGATGAACATGACAAAGAAACTCATTGCAAAATTCCTGTTGAGGCTGTATTGGAAGATGGGATAATCTGGGATCAGTACCAGATGAATGACCAAGCCTAGAAATGACTTCATTTATTAATTTTCCTATGGAGATTTGTAGCTAACTTTGAATTCAGACCATCCACCTTGCATACTACTATTGTTGTATGGTATTAATTCAGTAGAATTATCAGAAAAAGATGAACATGACAAAGAAACTCATTGCAAAATTCTTGTTGAGGCTGTATTAGAAAATGAGACTTGTTAATCTGGGATCAGTACCAGATGATCAAAACTTTAACCTCTAAGTCTACTTCCATGTAGAATTGAGTATATACAAATTACTTCCCAAGGTATAATCTCAAATATCAACATGATTAAAGAGCACCATGAGTAAAATAAAAACAGTATTTTTGTTCTTTCTTATAGTCCAGACTAAAATCTTCAAAGAAGAACAAGAAGGACCTTCATCAGAAGGTATTACAAAAGTACTGTACGGCAATTAAAAATGTAGTAGAGAGTCATCTAGAATGGATGGCCATAAAAGATGAAAAGGTATGTCAGTTTTTTCCATATATCATGAACTTTATCGATAAAACATCATTCAAACTAACATTGTGGAAGAAAAAAAGAACCTTCATCAGGAAATGTTACAAAAGGATTGGATGGCTATAAAAAATCTACTGATGAGTCGTTAAGAACAGATGTCTGCGAAAGATAAAAAGGTATATGTCGGTTTACATCATGAACTCAATCGATAAATTCATAGAATTTCAGGACCTAATGATCACAAAATAAAGCCTACTGGACTTGTGATGATTAGAAAGAAAATACGAAATAACACTTGTCAGCACTTGCTCAAATCATGGAGGTATGAAATTCCATCCATGCTCAAATGCAGATAAAAAAAAAAGCATAAAAATTTTTATATTTTGACTGCATATTTAAGTTAAATTTCAATTTTCTATATTTGTTTAGTTTAGTTAAAAAACCGATACCGCAACTCAAGTATACAGTAGATCAAGATAACAATGTGTCAAATCGTTTTTAGACTTGAAGATCCACATACAGTACATATTTGCCTGTTTCTTATTCTTAACATCATCGAAGCTATTATGTTTAATGATTTTATTGATTTCAATGGTATGGCAATATTGCTTTATTTTTCGGGTATCTCTAATTGTTCTGTTGCACCACAAAGTGAGACACAAATCAATTTATTAATTTTTTAATTTATCATTTATTAATTTGTCCTATGAAGATTTGCAGCTAATTTTGAATTCAGACCATCCACTTGCATAATACTATTGTTGTATAGTATTAATTCAGTAGAATTATCAGAAAAAGATGAACATGACAAAGAAACTCATTGCAAAATTCCTGTTGAGGCTGTATTGGAAGATGGGTTAATCTGGGATCAGTACCAGATGAATGACCAAGCCTAGAAATGACTTCATTTATTAATTTGTCCTATGAAGATTTGTAGCTAACTTTGAATTCAGACCATCCACCTTGCATACTACTATTATATGGTATTAATTCAGTAGAATTATCAGAAAAAGATGAACATGACAAAGAAACTCATTGCAAAATTCCTGTTGAGGCTGTATTGGAAGATGGGACTTGTTAATCTGGGATCAGTACCAGATGATCAAAACTTTAACCTCAAAGTCTACTTCCATGTAGAATTGAGTATACAAATTACTTCCCAAGGTATAATCTCCAATATCAACATGATTGAAGAGCACCATGAGTAAAATAAAAACAGTATTTTTGTTCATTCTTATAGTCCGGACTAAAATCTTCAAAGAACAAAAAGGACCTTCATCAGAAGATATTACAAAAGTACTGGACGGCAATTAAAAATGTAGTAGAGAGTCATCTAGAATGGATGGCCATAAAAGATGAAAAGGTATGTCAGTTTTTTCCATATATCATGAACTTTATTGATAAAACATCATTCAAACTAACATTGTGGAAGAAAAACAGAACCTCCATCAGAAGATGTTACAAAAGGATTGGATGGCTATAAAAAATCTACTGATGAGTCGTTAAGAACAGATGTCTGCGAAAGATAAAAAGGTAATGTCGGTTTACATCATGAACTCAATCGATAAATTCATAGAATTTCAGGACCTAATCATCACAAAATAAAGCCTACTGGACTTGTGATGATTAGAAGGAAAATACGAAATAACATTTGTCAGCACTTGCTCAAATCATGGAGGTATGAAATTCCTCCATGATCAAATGCAGATAAAAAAAAAAAGCATAAAAAATGTTATAATTTGACTGCATATTTAAGTTAAATTTCAATTTTCTGTATTTGTTCGCTTACTTCAATATTTGTTTAGTTCAGTTAAAAAACTGATACCGCAACTCAGGTATACAGTAGGTCAAGATAACAATGTGTCAAATCGTTTTTGGACTTGTGTGATTTTAATGTTTTTTGTATGGCAAAGTAGAGAAAATTTTGCCCACATGCAATGTGCTGTTCATATGCGTAAACGCACCACTGACTTAGCACATATTTTTGAATTGAACAATAGTGTTTTTAGTTGCTACAAGGGGTGGGCAATGTGCGTTAGCGAAAAGAATGAACCACTGTTTGACGCAATTTTGTAGAACAATTTAGCTTTTTCTTTGTCTCATCTGAATGTGCAATGGACATTTCTATTAAAGTAATGGCATTTTCTGTGTGGCTTCCGACAAATTTGTCACATTACGCATGTGTACCTGCTATAAAATGGCACACAACTTGTATAAACAAATCACGCATTATCAAATCTGCAGTTATGAGCGATGACGAATGTATCCACTGTCAACTACAGATAACACAAGATCAAGAAGCCGTACTTTGAGAGGAATGTGACTGATGGCAACACCATACATGTGGCTCAATGTTGCTGAAATACAGTAGTTAAACAGGATCCAACATCGCAACATTTGTAAAGATGAACTAGACAAAGAGAGCATATGCACCACGTATTCGGATGTATTGGCAATACATGACGAGGGTTGACAGGATTGCTAATGTAATGCCTGTTAACAGGTACTTCCTACTCCGTACAAATCTGCACATAAATGCAGCTCGAGAACCTGATGCTGGCAACACAAACAAGTTCTGGAAGGTAAAACCTGTTCTAGATGCAGTCCGAAATTGCTGTGTTGAGCTACCCCGTGAGGAGTACTGTGCTGTAGACGAGCAAATGATACCGTTTACTGGGCGAGTCCCCGCTAAACAGGTCATCAAGAGTAAGCCCAATCCAGTTGGAATTAAGAACTTTGTACTTTGTGGTAAATCTGGAAGGGCACTGGATTTTGAGTTCTATCAAGGGAAAGGGACAGGTATTCCACAAGAAACAAAGCATCTAGGGCTTAGTGCTTCAGTGGTTATTTTACTAACAAACACTATACCACGACAAATGAAATACAAAATTTGTTTTGATAATTATTTCACTGGTATTCCACTTATTAGAGAACTAAAGTCAAAGGGAATACTTTCCGTTGGAACTGCCAGAGGCAATCGGCTGATGGGATGCCCACTAAAAGCACCAAATAAATTTAAAAAAGAAAAACGTGGTTCAATGGAGATGAAGGTATCTGGCGAAGGTGACATATGTGTGGTGAGATGGATGGACAACGGGCCTGTAACGCTAGTCTCCAACTTTGTGGGTATTGAAAGCAAAGACCAGGTTCGACGTTGGAGTGCAGCTGCCAAAGAACACATTATGGTTGACAGGCCAAAGTGTGTCCAGGTGTATAATGATAACATGGGAGGTGTAGATAAAGTTGGATTTTCTTATTGCCCTCTATAGAATCCAGGCTAAAACAAGAAAGTGGCCAGTTAAAGTAATATTTCACTTAATTGATCTTGCTTTGGCTAACTCCTGGCTTGAGTACAGGGATATTGAGCGTGCAAATGGCACTCCGAAAAAACGTATCCTTGATCTGTTAGGATATCGAAATGAAGTAGCTACTGTCCTTCTAACATCAAATGCACCTCCCAGACTGATTGGTAGACCCAGAGTACTTCCACCCCCAGAAAGCCATCTAATGTAGTTCAGCGGCCTGTAGCTGATACGAGGTATGATGGTTACAAGCATTTTCCGACTTGTATCAAAGGTCTTGGAATGCGATGCAAGTACGAAGGTTGCAAAGGTCGTAGCAGAGTCAAATGTGTAAAGTGCAAAGTCTTTCTGTGCCTCACTAAGAATATAAACTGTTTCTTAGACTTTCATACTAAATAAATATTAGCTATGAGGATGCAACCCCCATCCCATACCTCATTTGTTAGTCACAATGTGTACAATCGTACCTTTACAAAACTGTAATAATGACATCACTTAGTCACAATGTGTACAAATGTACACATGATCTAATTTGCATAATTTTGAATATTTAATTTTTTTTTTTTTTTTTTTTTGTAATAACTACCCAAGAAGGTGTCAATAAGCATAAAAAATATATTTTTGGTCATAGCATTTTTTCTCGTGACCGAAGGGGATAACAGGTAGTGTACAACTATTAAATAATTGTGCAATTAAATGGCTGTAGTAATTCAATTATGATGTGCCAATTAATTGTTTTAGCGGAGTTTTTGTTTTTGTAAATTGGTGAATTGTTTACAAATAAATTGAAGTTTAACAATAAGGTCCTTCTGTGTGTATCCTTTTACAATCATATGAAGAAAAGTATGCGATTATTAAGTTCTGTGATGACAATCCAACTTAGAAAAAGAAAGATGTGGCAGCTAAATTTGACGTTAAACCTAACACGTGGGAGTCAATTACTAAAGCTTTAGAAGAGTCATCTAGGAAGGGAAAGTACAAGAGAGTAAAGTCTATTACATTCGGCGATCATAACCTGGTTTCGGCAGGCATTCGGATTAATGGCGATATGTTGTTAACGAAAGCAAATTATTTCGCTAATGAGTTAGGGCATGAAGCAGACGTTAAAATGTCATGGATTAGTCGTTTTAAAGTGAGATATTGCATTGGTAAAATCCAAAAGGCCGGTGAGACAGCGGGAGTTAATATGCAGTCTGTGAACGAGTGGACGGAGGGTAAATTAAAGGACATTCTAAATCGATATGAAGCATCCGACATTTACAATGCCGATGAAACTGGCCTTTTCTGGCAAATGCTCCCCGAAAAATCTCTGGGATTTATTGGTAAAGAGTACCATGGGGGAAAACAGGCAAAAACCCGAATAACAGTTCTTGTTGCGGCAAACATGGATGGATCAGACAAGCTGCCCTTGTTCGTAATCGGAAAAAGCAAGAATCCAAGGGCGTATAAAAATGTGAAAAAACTACCAGTGAAATACACAAATAACAAAAAGGCATGGATGACGGGTGTACTTTTTGAGAGTTGGCTGAATAAGTTAAACAGCAAGAGGAGACTGAGCGGACGAAAGATAGCGATGGTTGTGGATAATTGTACAGCACATCCCCAGGTTGAATTGACGAACGTTTAGCTAGTGTTTCTGCCGCCAAATACACAACCGATGGACGGGGGAATCATAAAAAATCTCAAGCACCACTACCACCACATATTAGCAATTCGTAGGTTAGCGGCAATAGAGACCAATGAAGAATTTAAATGGAACTTGTTGGATGCAATTGTGACGGTGAAGAGCGCATGGAAGAAGGTAACACCTCAGACCATCGCTAATGTGTATCGTAAAGTAGGCTTCATCAAACCTGATGACAGTGACAATGAAGAAGTGACTCCAGTAAGTTTGATTTTTTACGTCATAAATATTGCATAAAAAAATTATAAAACAAACAATTTACAATATATTTTTTATGTTTAATATCGACTAAATTATGATATCTGTTTCTACTGTGTAGATAATTGAAGATGTCTCGGGAGAACAGGACTTTGGCAACATTTGGGAGCGTCTTGCAGAAAGGTTTAACCTTCCTCCACTGGCTGACTACATATCCATTGACGACGGAGATACAGGTGCGATAGAGCAGTTAGAAGATAGAGAGATCGTTGGTTTAGTGCAGCAGACTGAGCAATCAGACGGCGAGGATGAAGAGACGGAAGACGAGTTAGGTTAAGAAGTCCCTACCCCAACATCGCGGGAGATGTTCAGGAGATGCAATATGTCTGTAGGCGATCTTCCTGATGATATTGCTATTGATGGCCGATAGATATGAAGCCTTCTTAATGCGAGAGTCTCACAAAAAGTTAACACAGAAATCAATAAGATTTTTTTAAAAAACAATATTTGTACTGTTGTGTTGTGTTTGCTACTGTACGTGAGCAAAAAGCATCCCATTTATATACTGTAATCCATTCTTGCATGTATGGTACGGTATCTAGCCACTAGATTTTTTTTATTATCTTTTGTAATGCATGTTATTGTTCAATGTGACGTGTTTGCGAAAATTCGCGCAGAGCACAAATAAAGATAATGATGACGTCATTATATTCTTAGTCACGTCTTATCATATGAGTTTTTTGTTTAAAAATAAAAATACAGTAGTACTGTACTAAAGTATCAAGTTATTTAGATATAATGACCTTGGCACGATAACAGGTGTGCATTATATACATATAATGAGTTTGAAGTCCAAGCATTATATACGTATAATGGTTTTCGACAGCTATTATTTATATATAATGAAATGTAAGTTATTTATATATAATGAGTTAGAAGTCAATTCATTATTTATATATAATTGAAAGTTTACTTTTCATTATTTATATATAATGATGTGTTACCCTTTCCTTATTTATATATAATGAAATCAGTACACTAATTATATATAAATAATGAAAACGTTAACGCAATTATTTACATAATCTTTAATAGGCATAAATGCATTGTATATAAATAATGGGTGATCTATTCAATTATATGTTTATAATGAATTATATATAAATAATTGTGTTAAATAATAAATTTACACTTGGCACCTCATAGTCCTGGGAACCACAAGACCTTGTAAACCAACATAAAGACAAATACATCAACAATGCAGAGGTTGAAATTCTAGCAAAGGATCACTTGCTACCTTGCAATGAAGTTGTGCATGTACATTGAACATCTTCAAAATTTAAAATTTCTGTTAATAGTAATCCATGGTTTTTATTACAAGGTAGTGCTAAAGTACCTGCATCATTTATTTTGTTACAGGTAATATCGTCAGGTGGCATTATACAGCGACCGCTGTTATGTTTAAAGTTAAAGAACTTTTTCATATGTTCCATAATGGCTTAGTCAAAAATACAAAACAAGAGAAGCAATTGAAACAGTCGGTAGATACATAAGCACCAAGACTATTAGTTAAAATAGTGTAAATTGGCCTGAGAAGCGTATGAGGTAGAAAAGTATATATAATAGCAAGAACATTTTTTTTAAATACAATTTACACATTAGTTCCATAAAAACCTAGCAAAATACTGTATTTATGTATAACACTTATTTTTTGTTTAGTTTTTCATGAACCTGCAGTGTTTGTAAGATGAAGATCGGTTAACTGTATTAACGACTGTAACTGAACCATAAAAGAGGCAGACCAGGATGCACAGAGTACAAAACAACTGAAGAAAGTTAAAAGAAAATTCTTAAAGACAGTGAAAGTGCTAACTAGGAGGAAGCAGAAGTATGATTTCCACAACATACCACGGAAACTGCTCTTCGCGAGTTCATAACAACAAGTAAGATTATGGGGTTATGAGAGCATGTTATGACAGTGTCATTGTATCTCCTACATTATATTAATTTTGTTTTCGTTTTTTGATATATCATCGTTTTTAAGAGCTTCTTTAAGTATAGTGAGAAACTTTTATTAAAGACTGCCTATCTTTGTGTCAGACTAATGGTTTTAAAGTAATTAGACTGGTATTTAATGAACAGAGACTTGATGTAAAAATAAATAATATAAATGTAACAATAAAACCAAAACAAATGCTCAAATAATGTAACTGTACAAGGATGTCTCACGAAAATTGTGTTATGGTTATTAAAAAACATTAAACATTAGGTCATTAAAATGTTTTTATGCAATATTATCACTATGCATGTTCCTATTAATGTAACATACTAATAAATGTTGTTTCATTTTGCAATATTTTACACAATATGTAAAACCTAAATCCACACAGGTTTTTGATTAAACAATCTTAATTGAATGTTCTCTTGATAGGAAAGTTGTCCAAAAACAAAATTCCGAAAGACACACAAATTTCTGAACAAGTTACCAAAGTTAGAATCACATAACTGTCGCAGCAGTTCAATAAAGCAGTATCTTTAACTCAACTAGAGTGTCTTCTGGATAACAATTCCCTGGAAAATGCTTCAACTCTCGGACATTGGCTTGAAAAAGCATTTAATACTTTCTAGAAACACAAAATATAGGTATATAGAAATAAATTAAAAGAACTTTGACGAATCGTCAGAATGTGAATTCAGCACCTAGGAATATGGAATTGCAAAGACGAAATGACACAATAAGACAAAGACCTTATTGAAGGATTATGAAAAGCCAAACCTAGAAAGTTGTTTGCTTGTTCAAATAAGTTAAAAACAAATATTTGCAGCAAGAAATAAGAAAATCGAAGTCAAGATTTGAGAACCTCAAAAAGAAGATTGAGCTATTATAAGAGGAAAGTGGAAAACATCAATAGCAAGGATATATACGATTACGTGAAAAAGCTACAGCAGCACCTAAGAACAATATCCAGCTACTGGAAGAAAAGAGGCAGAGGCAATGCAGAGACAAGAAATTGTTTGGGACTGTAAACTTAGCATGGCATTTGATTATGGAACTAGAGAGCTGGTATTTAACAATACAGAAGATCTGATAAAATCATCATAGTACATTTGGATACAATGTGACCAATCCTCCAAAACGAAGTCCAGTTAAAAACTTGGCCAGAGAGCTAAGTGCCATATCATTGTCATATTCAAAAGAAAGTATTATAATAATTCATTTGAAAAATTATATAAGTGAAGAGATACAGTATGTGAACCTGGCTCGAGAAGCTGATGAAAAAAGATTCAGAGAAATATATGATGCTGCCTTTACAGGTTATGATGTAGTTGCCGAAACCAGATGAGTTTAATAGGCAAACACCCCATATCACTGAGTTGGTAATTAGATTCAATTTATTAGTTAGGAGTACACAGAAGAAAAGTACAGAGCTCAAAAAGGGTTCTCTAACATCTGAAACCTGGAGTTTAGCTGATTGTAACCAACGTACAGTTTGTGTGAATAAAAGTTTGCAGTGTACTAAAAGGAACTGTGTTATACTACTCATTAAAAGTCACCAACAGCTAACCTATATTTAACATGGTGGAAGACCCTAATCATTGATTTCACGGTACCTCCTCTCCAAAGCTGAGCACATATCGCCAAACAATTAAAGACGCACTGAACGATACCCGAATTGTGGTTAAGCAGATTGTTTGTCCTTTCTGAATGAAATCCTACAACGTACAAACAAAACGAAACAGACACAAAATAGGATTCGAGACAAGCCGACTTCACTTGGACTTCACCCCATGACGATGGAAGATGCTCTATACTTTTGAACTTTAGGCCAACGTTAAACTTTGAACATTTAATTTCCCTTAAATTTCATTTCTTTACTGAACTTTTTTTTGCTTGGAATTTGCATTTTATCAAGAATAAGTAAATGGGTATAGTTGAATACATTGTTAAATTCCATCATTGTGTGACAGAGTTTGAGTGTATTTTCAATCATTGCATTTGCTGCCTCCGTTGAACAATTGAGTTTAGTTAATTTAATGTATTTGCATTACCATATTTTTTAAAAATCTAATTCGTTAATTTATTCATAATGGTAGACCAAGTGCCACAAGCCCCTCAATTGAGGCAGACAGATTTCCTACCTAAACGCTATGATGGTGAAACAATAACAGACCATGATCAATGTAGTGTGCACTTTCTTTCCTTTATGGACTACTTAGAAGCCCATACACTACAAAATCCTGCAAATGATGCTGCATTACACAATGTCATTAGCATTTTTAGCTGTCTCTTATACACATCTAGATGTGTATAAGAGACAGGTATTACGTGATGTATTTAATTACAATAGACTTAAACCATGTTTCATGAGAGCCACGGATGAACGAAAGAATGTTACACACATTCAGAAATTAAGACAGTTGATCAATAAGGCCAATGATAATGAACAGACAAGTAAGAATGAATTAAACGTGATTAATGACAATACCAAAATTATTGAATTCATTGACGAATGCGATAATAAACTTCCCGTGCTTGATTCAAAGACATTTATTTACACCACTAAAGTGGAACCAATAGACTTTACAAAATACATTGAATGTTTAGAAAACAATATGGGATTAGCCGTATCATACCCATTGCAGGAGGAGCAAATTAAACGATTATCAAATATAATTATGGGAGCTCCAGTGGATACGACTATGACTTTAAGACGTGCCCGATTTAAAGCAGGACAATTACAAGTATTGGTATCTGTCTCTTATACACATCTAACAAATCAGTGTACACCCACATTAGGGAGTACGACTCAATCACTTACCAAACAGGTGATAGTGCTGAAAGGCATATTACCCGTATCAAACAGGCAGCACACAGAATAGGATATGCAGATCCACAGATAAAAAATAAATTTATTGCAACACTACCACCTAAATGTAGAGCAGCGGTTGCTATGTCAATACCGGCTGATGCCACACTTGATAATCTAGTAACTAGTGCTCAAAATTACCTTGACCTGTCCGTGGAGGATAAGCCACGAGAAATCAGTTTCAATATTCAAGAAACATCTGAAATTACAACACTTAAACATGAACTTAATGCATTAAAAGTTGACCTTGCAACTGCTAAAAATAACTTGAATAGGCCCACTGATAGCCTTAGGCCTCGAGTTAACAACAGAATGAGCTATATAGTTTGTCATTATTGTTCTAAACCAGGTCACGTTTGGCGCGAATGTAGACAACGTGCCACCGAATTAAACCAACGTCCACCTCAACAAAATTTTCAGACAGTTTATATCAACAGACGATAGAACTCACATTTTCACTAAGGGGATTAGACAACTGCGCCAATTGTTCGAGTCCCCA